GTGTGTGTGTGTGTGCGTGTGTGTGAGGGTGTGTAGGTTTTAGTCGTGTGGGGATGCCCCCTTACGGGGGCGTACGTGTCTTTTGGTGTATTTGTCTGTCTGGTATATTGTTTGTCGGGGGTCGCAATTTTAAAGAAATGTATTCAAAAATAATGCAAATAACTGATAAATAAAGTAAAAACTTACCTGGGCATAACCCCGGCACATATACCTGTAACAAAGATGCCGACGGCCTCTATGCTTGAGCCGGGGATTAGGTCGGTGGTTAAGAGGAAAGAAAAGGATACTTTCCAGGTAGCCTTTATAAAGGCAGGTAGATCTTGCTCGTTGCAATGCACTTCACTTTACAATAAACACGTCCGCTCAGTTCGACCGCTCGCACGAGAATGAGTTTGAGGTTGTGCGCACCAGATGGATTTCTTTAAGAGATCGGTTTTATGAACAAACTGAAGGAGCAACTTCTCCTATTGTATTCACAGAAGCTGTATAAATTTTTAGACTACAAGCCCATCGGAAATTTTCAAGGGGTCATTTGACCCAGCATGAATTACTTATAAATCAATACCATCACATATAAAAATAACTTTAGAAACTATGCCGTCAGTTCTTGTTGGTAGAATTGAGTACACAACAGGTAAGCTAAACCTTTCCTCTAAGGAGGGAACTGAGCAAACAAGTGAATTAAGATCTGGTCAATATCTATGAAGACAACACTCGAGAACAAGACTTTGAAGTCAGTAACTTTGTATTACATCTAAAAGGAAGATGTTGAAAGATAAAGTTTAAAAACAATCCAGTCGAAGAAAATTTTGAAGAATTTGCTAATTTTAACACGTCTTGGTCTTTCACGATTTATTTTATATTTGCCTTATATTACAGATTAAATATCCATTGTGATTGTGTTGAAATGTAAACATATTCAAATATGCTATTTCCCTTCTTCATTGTGGTTAAATTTTTGCACGAGCCAACAATCAAACTCTCACTAATAAACACATCACCTACGAAAATTAATTTCACCAAAGTTTCCACTGGCACTTGTCCTACATACCGAAAAGCACGAGCGTTATTTTTTCACCATCAATTTGGCTTTCTCACTCGAGGAATAATTGATGAGATCGGTTCAATCAAACACGCTAACCGTTTGTTTATTCCCGACAGTTCATAGAACTTAAATTTAGCCCACTTATTAATAACTTCAATTGCCCGCGGTCGTTACTTAACTTAATTTATTTTTTAGGGATTCATCAAGCAAATTTGATGGGTCAATCGTGATCCGCTTTATCGGTCACTGCCCCGGCAATTTTCTAATGACAGAAAGATGTTTCATTGGCTTATGAAATAACTAGAAAGGAGAATTACTGTGAAAACTGTAATGAAAAATAGAAAGTTTAAGGTTTAGATGCAAAACATGTACAGGATGTTCTTATAGTTTGAGTTGCGGTAATGAAAGTGAATACAGAATACAGATAACTCAACCAATGGCCGATATTTTTCAATGCGATGCCAGTATCAGTTTTAAAATTTCAACATCCTATATCTTGAAAATCGAAACGTTTGCTCCCATTCGTTCATAAGACTTTTTTTCTTATTTTGATTTCAATGATTCATACTTGGCCAATTAATCTTGAGACACCCTGTATAACGTCGTTCCTAGTCAAAAAATTATACCAGTTTCGCGGTTGGTATCTGCCACTACTGAATAGTGTACATAGTTTAAAATATTCCCGACTGCTTTACGAGTTCGTTAAACATTCACCTTTCCACCATTCTGACTGAACGACTTTAAACAAATATTTCATTTATTTATGTCTGCCTATAAAGCGCACTGCTTATATGCACAAGAAATGTATACACGAAGTTAGATACATGCTATTCATATACGAAACTTGAAATTCTATCATAAAATGAAATTTAAGTACATGTTATATTTGCTTTAAATAATGTTTCTATTTAACTTTTATTTATTTACTATGTTTGTAAGCAACTGACTTATACATTAATAAATTACTTCTACACACGAATATTACAATTATTACGTTTAATGATAGAGGATAGAGGTTCCACTGTAACAGACATTATTGATAAAAACTGTTACTGTATTACCCACAGTTTGCAACCAGCGCCCTCTCTGGCGGTACGACAAACTATCCTACTTTCCCAAGTTTTACATACAAGATACAAGCCTTTTGACTTTGAACTTTGACACAACATGAACCACCGCTCTTATGCAAAACAAAGTAAATACAAACCATCCTTGTATATTCAAGCAAATTAACTAAATAAAAACGAAAAAAAGTATTTTTTTTATGAAAATTAGCTCCTTTTTTAATTAATGTCATGTCTTTCACCACATGCATATATCAGAAATATATATACATACATAATGCAATGATGTATCATATAAGTCATTGGGATTCCAAAACGCACTCTAATATTTGAAATATAACTTCTGGAATAATTTTACGGAATACATCGACTTCTAGCACAATACTAACACTAATAAGCTCGTCAAGATTTGTTCTTGTTTTAATAAATTTTTAAATGCTGCATGTTTTTGTTACAGGATGCAGATAGCACCAAATTTTTATAACTCAACGACCTCAGGTGCTGAAACCATCACGCTGAAGGCTATAGAAGACACTAACTTAATAATATTTCACGTTAATAATATAACTATTGATAAGCATTCCGTCATTGTTAAATCCACCAAATTTGACTCTAAACCCATCGAAATAAATGATCAGGACTACATACAGGGACAAAAATACAGGATTCACTTGAATGAGCAATTGAAGAAGGGGGAAGAATATCAGCTCGATATGAAATTCAATGGGGAACTGAACAAGCATCTTCAGGGATTCTACAGGAGTCAGTACAACGACAGGTTAGGGAACGAAAGGTAAGTTATCACAGTGGTCTATGGTAATCACATACAGATTTTCTGCATGGGCGACTATTTATACATGTATGGTGTATTACAGGTTGCCTACCTTTAAACATTAATTTGCACATTAAACAATCAGTGTAAGTTTGTAATTTTGAATATATTGAATATTTTTTAGATACACAGCAAGTACACAGTTTTCACCCACAGATGCAAGAAGGGCTTTCCCATGCTTCGACGAACCTTCTTTCAAAGCCAAATTTACGATCAGCCTGGCGAGACCATCCAATATGACCACTTTGTCTAATATGCCTCTAACTACCACTGTTCAGGCGTAAGTATTGAGTTGAAATCTAATAATGCGTAACTTGGAAGAAGTTGGATAATCACTCATTTAACATTTTGATTCAGAGTTGAACAAAATGAAACCTTATCGTGGGACCACTACCCAGAGACGCCGAAAATGTCGACTTATCTAGTTGCTTTCATAGTGAGCAACCTGAAACCACTCTCCATCAACACCAACGGCATAATTAAAGTTTGGGCCCGTGAAGAATTCTTACCGTATGCTAGATATGCTGCAGAAATCGCGCCACAGATCCTTGACTACTTTGAGAAATATTTTGGAATTCTCTATCCGCTACCTAAGATGGACATTGTGGCCGTTCCAGAGTTTGGATTCAGCGCTATGGAAAACTGGGGTTTGATAACATTCAGGTTGGTATAATGCCGAAACGAACTTGGTTAAAAAAATTTAAAATCTTTGTATATTTTAGGGAGAGCAGTTTACTTTTTGACCCCAGTAGTTCGACCAATGAAGACATGAGAACGATCGCCACTGTTTTGTCCCACGAGATTGCCCACCAATGGTTCGGCAATCTGGTAACCCCGAAATGGTGGAATGACCTGTGGTTGAAAGAGGGGTTTGCCAGTTACCTGCAGTATTTCGGAGTCAATTACGTAAGTTTAATTTTGTTTAAACTATTCAAATTGTATTGTTACATATTTTAAAATCACCATGTATGATGCGATTTTGATATTTCAGACTGAACCAAAATGGAAAATAGCGGACGAATTCATAGCGACGGAAACGCAGAAGGCTATGAACATCGACGCTCTGGAATCGTCAAGGCCTATTTCCTTCGAGGTGAAGAATAGCAGGCAAATTAGGCAGGCTTTTGACGATATCTCTTACTCGAAAGGTAAAAATCAACTAACGTGCAACTTATTCTTTCCTAATATCTCATTCTAGGTGCTGCCATAATCCGAATGATGAACCACTTTTTGGGCGAAGAAGTGTTTAAAAATGGCTTGATCAATTTCCTCAAAAAACACCAAAACGGCAACGCAGATAGACAAGACCTATTCACTTCCTTAACTACCGAAGCTCATGATGCAGGTGTTTTACTACAGAATGAAACCGTAAAACACATTATGGACACATGGACGGAAAAACCTGGGTTTCCTTTAGTTACAGCCAGAGCCGATTACGAGAACAAGAGATTACATATTACCCAGGTACTACTTTGCCATTGCACACCCTACCTTTAGGATACAAATAAATTCGATCTACTTATAATCTTCTTGTGAAGCTACATTGCTAAATACTTTAACGTCGTCGGCAAAATATAACTTGCAGACGGTTACTTGTTGGTTACAAGGTCAATTATGAATATAAGGAAAAGGAGAGGCCCCAAATTTGAGCCTTGTGGTACCCCAGAATTGACATTAGATTGTATGGATCTTGTACCTTCGTATTCAAGTTCGGTCCAATTAGCGAGATTCAATGAGATTTAAGTGTTTCAGAAAATCAAATTTTGTGTAGAAATACAAATCAATTTAGTCAATAGTGTCTTGAAAGTTTATAGAAATTAAATAAATTTGACCCAAACATATAAAAAAAAAATCAATTCAATATGTAATTGTTACATACTGTAAAAATATTGAATAGGAAATTAACAAAATATGTTCTATTTTATAGAGAAGGTTCTACTTAAACGACAAGGAAGAGAGATCATCATGGTGGGTGCCATTATCCTTCACCACGAGTAATGAAGCAATAGATTTCTCGGATACGAGGCCGAAGTTTTGGTTAAGAGGTGAATACGAAATCGTGGAAGAGGTCGACTTAGACGAGTGGTATCTCCTAAATCTCAATCAAACAGGTAAACGTCACGTCACGTTGAAAAATTATGCTTTAAAACACGAAACGCATTGAAAATTTTCTATCCATTCTGTTTCGCTCTTCTTTATAGGATACTTCATAGTCAACTACGACGAAAAGAACTGGAAATCTCTCATCGACCACATAATGGACCTGCCGCCCATAATAAGGGCGCAATTAATAAGCGATTCGATGGAATTAGCCCGAGCCAACGTTCTAGACTACGACATTCCCCTTAGAATGATCGCCAGGATGGCAGTTCAAGATCGCTCCATCATGTTCGTGCCCACCCTGATCGCCTTCAAGAAACTCAAATTCTTAAGCGACATCCTATCGGCAACGCCTGCTTTTGGCCATTTCGAAGTAAGTCTTTGCTGCATATAAATCTCGAATCAAGAAAAAAAAAACGTTTGCTCTTTCAGGAATACCACAGAGCCATTTTCAAATCGACGTACATGATGGTTACTTTCGATGACGTTATCGACGATTATATCACGAGGAGAATACGTCAAACCGTTTTGGAATGGTCTTGCATGAGTCCAGATTCTACATGTGTCCACCAGTCGAGGTCTCGATTTAGACAGTTGATGATAAATAATCACGGGTATGACACTGTCTAATTTATGTTGTTCGATTTATTTTTATTGAATTTTAGGAGCAGATAGATCATCAAAATATAATTATAGTTTATTATACAATATTTGAGATCTGTTTTCACAAATTCCATCATACAAACTGAATTATTTTAACCTTGTTTTTAGTTTTTATTTGTCTTTCTAAATAATTTTCTTGACAGATGACTTGGCACTCATAATTTCCTTGGTGTGTATGCATAAATGATTACCATATTTCTTTGATAATCTACCTGTTTTGTAAATTTGGATAAAGAAAATTGAACCCAAAAAAACATTCAGCGAAACATAACTGAATTAATATTATACCGTCGCTTTATTCATTTTAGAGTGGAACCCAATCTGCGAGGAGTGGTTTACTGCACCGCCGTCAGAGAAGGTACCGAAATAGAATGGGACTTTGCGTATCAGAGATATTTGGAGACGCAGACACCATCGGAGAAAAATATGCTACTAGACGCTTTGGGCTGCACTAAGTTGAGTTGGTTGTTGTCCAGGTACATGCTGAAATTTCATTACGATACACTAAAATTTGCACGTCACAAAAATTACGATACGTAGTACGTCTTCTAAAATGGTATAACTAATTATTTGCACTGTATATAGGAAAAAATTGCTAACTAAGTCGTGAGTGGTAGATAAAATGTTACAATAATGCAACGCTGATTAAAATATAACCACCAAATATGAATTAATACACAAATAACAGACTTTCCCCCATTTTGACGCAGATTTTCTACAAAGTAGACTTAGTTTGAAGCTCAAATTACTTTTTGTTGTAGAGAAATGTGTAATTTGCCGCTTTTGAACAAGCAAATTACAAATTTCTTTACACCAAAAAGTAATTTGAGTTTCAAACCAACTCCATTTTATAGAAAATTTGCGTTAGAATGGAGGAAAGTCTGTTATTTGTGCATTGATTCATATTTAGACGACCTGTGTAATAAAATCTATAAAAATGTATTGCTGGTTGCCTATTTGCTATAGACGCCTCTTAAAAGTATCTTAAATACTTGCTGTTTTAGTTATAAGGGGTGCAAATTTCTAGCTCAATGCCATTACTAAACAGAGTAAACCTTAAAAAAAAGAAAATCAAAACAATTTTGATACCGAGACCAATTTTTAGTAGCACATTAATTTTTACGAGAGTTTATTTTCAGTTTTAGCACTTAGCACCTGCATTTAAATTCCATACCCTTGAAATTTACCGTTACATAAGAAAAATGCGATATGTAAAGGTTGTAATGTATGTCTGTCTATATGTGTGGCAATTTATTACACAAATATACGAGACATATCCACAAAGTATGAGTACCCAATTTTTTTAAAATCAAAACTGCAGTATATTTATGAAAAATTTACGTATTCGGAAAGGTACATCAAACAGCTTTTTCCGACGTAGTCGCCTTCAACCTCAACGCACTTTGTGAGCCGAGAGATGAGCTTTCTGATAACTTCATCAAAAAAAAAAAACTCGATGCCTCACGGGCCTATTGTTTCAAGGCATTGTGGATCTTTTTTCACCCATAAACACCTTCAGAGAAGGGAAAAGATGAAAACCATAAGGTGCCAGGTCAGGGCTGTGAGCGGGGTGGTTGATATTCCAAACGAATTAATCAAAAAGTTGCTTTGTGATATTGGCTGTGTGGAGCATTGTTATGCAACAAGCACCCTCCCGTTCCCCTTCTTCCGTTCTGTATTACCCTCCATGGTGTTTGTACAGCAACATTAATTTTTTCTCCCTGGAGCAAAAAAAGTCAATGAGGAAAATCCCTTCACGGCCCAAACAAAATTGCCATGATTTTACGGGCCCAAGCAACAGTATTGAATTTTTTGGTAAAAATCTGGAACGCCGCCTTTCCCTTTGCAACAATAAACCGGATTACGCCTCCACACTTCGCAGTTGGTGGGATTCGGAATAACGGCACTCATTTCAACATGCCACTACAACAATAGTTCTCAACTGACTGAGATGGACGAGCGCACATTCTGCTCCCAACACAGAGCATCAAAGTCTCAGTACTTACTTTGTGGATATACCTCGTACATGAATCGTCTTCCTTAATTTTAATTTTGTTAAGGTAACACTTCAGTTGGAGTCTTTTGATGGTAAAATATTTTTGTTAGAATGTTTGTGAATTATACCTACTATTGCCTATGACCTTTTTTGTACTTGGTTTTTAGTAAGCGATCCTTTTTTTCGCATTTAAAGGAATTAAGAGAAGTTTCGTTTACGGTTTGATAAAAGTTTATGTAATTTTGTTTTGCGAGAGTACAACAGAATGTCCACTTAAGAGAGATTCTCGTGTAACTTGGATTATCAATAAATCAAAAAGGTGTTTTCAAATAAGAGTCACATCAAATCAGTCTCCTGATTTCTCTACCAAGGCCCTTTTTCTTAAAAAATTAAAACCTAGCGACTTGCCGATATAAAATTCCAAAAAAAAATATATAAAAATTTTTGTTTCATCTTGCCGAGGCCCTCCGATCTCGTGAGGTCCGGGGTTACAGTAAAGCCCTTAAAGACGGGCCTGTTTCTTGCAAATACTTTTCTAATCATATTATATAACTTTTACTTTAAATAATGCTTAAACATAATTTTTAGAGTTTGTTTGAGAATTTTTTTGTGATAATTTTTCAATGGAAAAATAGCAATAAAAAGTAAGAAAAACTGCGAATATCTTGCAAAGTATAAAAAGTAGATCTTAACATAAAACACAAAAAAAATCCACGATCTAAAACTTGAATCATCTAAAACTCATAATCATTATTTTTGTATCTGAATTGTTTTAAATGGTTAAGTAATGCAGAAAATTTTGCTGTCACGCTTAAACAAATGATAGAAAGAGCATCTTGTTATGATGTTTATATTTGAAATTTTTGAGGGTGCCGCGTCAATTAAAAAAAACAATTCATAATAGATAACAAATATAAAAAATCAAAATTTGGCGCACAGTAACATATCCAAGTTATCTAGAAAAGCAGCTACAGGATCAGACGTCCTCGAAGTACATATAATCCTAAAACAAAATATATAAATTATTTGCACACTGTAAAAAAATAATACTTTAAAACTTATAACTTCTAATTACTCACAATTAAGATACAAGCCCCTAACATTAAAGTCTTCTGCCTAACCTCCAAGTCCATAGGAAACGTAACTTTAAAGTAATCGGCATCAGTAAACATTTCTCTTAAAATGCCTGACCATTGCTTTGAAATTTTCCCTACTTGTACGGAACCATCGCTACTCGTAACATTAAAATCTACGTCCCGATAAATTCTCATTGTGCAAATTGGACCTTTGATTCTGAAAATGGCATCACCCCTTGCATCTTTCACTTCAAACAATGGATGGCAGATACTCCATTTTTGTTCGACGGTACCTACAATTCTGCCTGGAGGCGCATATACCTCTATACTCTAGAATTATTACATAGTTAGTACCCGTCGAAATAGAAATCAAAAGTTGGTTCACTTGTAAACAGCCAGGGAAGCAGCATGAATCACAAGATAAAGGTCTGTAAAGGTGTATCACTTCATTGTTGTCATTGTCTATGATTCTCATGTGGAAAGGCCTGTAAAATTTACAACGATAACGAGCTACAAAGTCGGAGTGTTCAAAAGCATCGTAAATTTTTTGACCTGAACTATTCTTAATGATATATCTGTTTTCAGTTTCATATCCAGTTATAACTAGAAAAAAGTAAAATTTGAAACTGAATGCTAAAATAAATGCATACAACAGCTTTGTGATATTTAGCAGTTTATTTTATTATTTATAAATACCTTCAAGCATTTCCACTTGTTGGTGTACTAGGAGTTCATCGACCGTAGTAAGGTATTGCAATCCTGGAGGGCAACTGGGAATACCNCTTGTTCTTGTTATAAATATGCCAGCACAATTTTTTTTCTGTTTATGTCTGTTTGTATAACAAAGGCAAATGAACTAACGCTTGAGACTTGAGAGGGATTGGGGATTGGGAGCAAAATTTAACTAATGTCGAATGTTCCATAAGATAAGCAAAAAAAGCAAAGGGTTGTTCGTCTGTTATGTTTTCGAGATCGAAAGGGAATGTTTCGAGTAATGTTTCAAACTCTCTTCAATTGGAACGTTTCGGCTATGTTTCATTAAAGAAGTTTTCAAGTGCTACATTTCTGTAATGAAACAGAAACGTTTCTAGTTAATGTTTCAAATGTTTAACAAAACATCTCATTTGCAACGTTTCATTTACGTTTCGTGTTTAGTGGGTTGTAATTGTAATTAATTCCTTTTTTTAAAAAAGTAATTTGTAATTGTAACTATTTTTAAATTACAAGTAATTACCCAGCTCTGTTATTTATAAATACCTTCAAGCATTTCCACTTGTTGGTGTACTAGGAGTTCATCGACCGTAGTAAGGTATTGCAATCCTGGAGGGCAACTGGGAATACCTCGTGACATATTCATTCAACCACCTAAAAAATTCATTAAAAAGGACATACAACTATTAAAACTCAGCATAGACTACATTTTTGGAAAGAGTCAAGTTAGTCGTACACTAGTAGTAATAGTAGTAAATCGGGCAGCCGTAACCTGGCAATTAGACCACAAGTGGGCCCTTTTTGCCCACTATCAACTGACCGGGATTTTAGTTTGTGGCAGGTTCTTCACCTTATCCCCTTGCAGGTCTTCGGTACCAAGGACTTTATGTCTTAACCTCCCGAAGACTGCACAGTGTCCCAGAAGATAGGGGTATCATCCCCCTTTCCACATTTCGTTTATAAAGAATCCTCCTCGATTCCTATTATAAAGCTTAAAAGCCTCCTAAGTCTGCAATGGCCTGTCGGAATTGGCACCATTTGATTTAGGGCTCTTCGACTAAGGCTCAGCAGACATCTCGTCTTAGGTTAGGTTTGTTAAGTCCATATATAAAGCTATGGGCCTGCCATTTATTGAGGGCCCCGTTAATGCTACCTCGTGTGATTCCGAGGACTGGTTCAGGTCACTGACCAGGCAGAAGCAGGGCTATAGCGATGTGACCCTCTGCTTGTCCTTTTACTTTCTTTAGGTTAGCCATCAAATGAATTGTTAAATTTATCTCAAACTGAACATACACGTAATTTAGAAACTTATGAAACCAACATATTAAGTTTTAGTAATATTTCCAAATATGAAATTACCATTTGAAATTTTAGTTACATTTTGCAAAACAGCGGATACAGTTCTGAAAGATGTACTTCTAAACATATTTTAAGAAATATCACTGAAAATAATAAAGAACGTCTTGGTTTTTAAGGTAACATAATTTTTTTAAATCTTAGATTCTTGTTACACGTCACCTTGCCCGTCACTGAAGAATAAGTCTAAAAGCTTAGTCGAGTTAATAAACAAATAAAAAAAAGCACAAAAAATGGCAAACAATTATTGTTCGGATTTAATATTTATGTTAGTAAATAATTTTAAGAAAGTAAGTGTTTCAAAAATCAAATTGGTCCAATCAAAGTAGTCCTTAAATTCAGTGAAAAAACACTGAGGTAATGAGACACCCTGTGTAAATAGTTTTAGATTCGATGCAACTTTTATTTGTAAACACTTTTTTGTATCCTGATAATACTAGAGTTATCCGTTTTTAGTGGAACGCCCTATATACTAATAAGTTCTATGCCCTATCAAGTTACTGAATGCCCCCTCTTGGTTTTTCTACTGGCGGCACATTCCAACAAAGCTTTTAGAATGGCCTGTTTCAAAAATAATTTCTTCCTATTTTCTATTACTAACCATCCCAGTTTGTTAAAAGTTAATACATATGTTATTTACAGATACGTTAAAAAATTACTTGACGACCCCAGCATCAGAATTCAAGATGCCGATAGAGTGTTCGAATCTGTGGCCAAGAACCGAGTAGGAACACAAATCGCTTTCGATTTCTTGAGGAAGAACTGGAATGAGCTTTTAAATCAGTAAGTTATAGAATCCATGTTGTAGTTTTAATTTAATAATGTCAATAATTTTCAAGTTACGGAGATGGATTCAATATATTAGCCAAAATGATCAAAGCGTTAGCACCGCATATGAACACGGAATTTCAACTGTCAGAGGTAAGTACAAAAATAAAAATTTTATATCAAGAACTATTGTACTGTACTCGATTAATATTTCTTTTTTGATTAACACGTATAATTTTACTATTTTATTGTTACATGATTAACCGATTGTGAAGGTACCTTATAGAATTAATACAAAAACTACTTACAAAGTAATAGAGCTTACTTACTTTGGTAATTATTTGCTAGGTGACCCGTAAAACTTCACTGCGTATTTCACGAAATGTTGCCTGTCTCCCTATTTTCAAATTCAAATAAAATTTTTCAAAATTCTAACCTGTACACTTAACAACAATTATCAGTCACGATCACTATACACAACACTATATTGTCTATATAAGAGGCACATAAGAGATCTAATAATTTTTTAATATTATATTTTCTTGCATTTATGTTTTTAAAAGAAAATAATCAAAAAAAAAAATGTAAACTGCCATCCACAAAACATATAAAAACGCCATCTGTATTTCGTAAACCGTATTCCAAATCCAAATCATAACGCATACACTATATAGAGGAGGGTATCTACTACTGAGCTAGTGTAAAAGTTTCAGCGCTCCCATCGGATGGAACATAAACCATTTTTTAAGGAGGTCTTTCTTACTATAAATATTTGTTTCTATTTCTATTGAAAATAGAAGTGGGGGTGAGGAATAGATAAATTTGTATGCATTTTGAGTCGAGTTTTACGCTATATTAAATAATTACACTCACATTTAAATCATTTTATTGAATAAACTGTATTTTTCAGTTGGAAAGGTTCAAGAACAGCATAAAGACCAACATCAGTACCACAGCAAGTGCCTTTGAAAGTGCCATAGAAACAGTAAAATCCAATGTGGATTGGATGAAGAAGAACTATAACCAAGTAGAGCAATGGTTTATTAAAAATAAGGAGCGTTTTGTATTTTTGTAAATTTCTTTTCCCTATCAACTGTAAATTTTCCTTTTTGTATCATGGATTCAATTGTGAAAAAAGAACGGTACTATATTTTTAAGATTCTCACTCAGTATTTTTAGGTTTGTACATTTTACTTGCGATAAGTGTGTTATATAAGCTAAGTCTTGATTTATTTTTACACCATATTAATATTAAATGCTACTTAATTTATTGTAATATTTATATTAAAATAAAGAAAATAGAAACCTTCCATACTTTATTTTATTACCTATGCAAATAGTTGGAAAAATAAATTTTGAAATAAAAAGTCACTAGATTTTATCTTTGTGTTTATTATTTAGGATAAGCATCCCGCCTATAAGAGGGCGTTCCGTCGCTCTCGTACACATTGACATCAAATACTTACATTTAAAACGATTTTTTTTATATTTATTTTCGTTACGAAAATGATGTGAAGATAAACTAAACAGAATATTTCAATCAACGCGTCTAGAACAACATAGAAATCTAGAAACAAAATCTGAACCAATCATAAATCTAGAAAATAAATGTAGATGGCACCAGTTGAGCACATCCGACGATCATAAACTCGGCAAACCTAGACGTAGAATAGAAATAGACGAAATAAGAAATCAGTTATCTAGTTAGAATCGTTAAGAAATTGGGGCCACATCATATTGTTTTAATGTTTATTTGACAGATTACCCCATCTAATTGATTTATATTGACAGTTCTAGAATTTTACACTTAAAAATGCTTGTGATTTCTTGTTTGATATCCATTTTTTAGATATATTTATTTTAATATTTATCATAAATTGTATGTCCACACGTAATAAATGCAGAAAAGCAGTATAAAATCTGGTAAATTCACTTCAGTTTTTTTTATGTCACGAATACCTATTTAAAAAAATAACTCAAATTTTCGCGCTTCTACATTTGACTGGTGTCTTTTAGTAACTTTTTTAGTGGAATATCTTTTTATTTTGTCTTCCTGTGCTCGTTCAGCGAAATAAGTCGTCGGATTAGTTTAATAGTAATAGACTGTTTCACTGTTAATAATTAGCATTTTTTGTAACGAATTTTTAACAGCTATTGACAGATCAAAAACCGAGTGAGATTTCAACTGCAACTAGTTTTAACACCAATTACACATGTTAGTAGCCGCCATCTGTAACAAGTGTTATTTAATATTCATAGCTGTTACCGCAATAATTTAATGATTTTAATTTTCAGGTTTACCAAAGAAGATGACAATTCTGGAGAATGATGTGATTTCTACGCGCAGCAAACTATCAAAGCGAAAATTTAAAACCAGTGAACTAAAACGTAAATACTTATTTCAGGAGAACACTGTCCCAGCGAAGAAACAAGTGTTTAGTGACATGTTAAACGGATATAGAATAGACCAGAGGAACAACGGAGATGTCCTTCAGGACTCTCCAGTTGCTACACTGTCTAATATGGGCAATACCTGCTTTCTAAATAGTGTAATTTACACCTTAAGGTTTGCTCCCACGTTCTTACATAATCTGCATCATTTAATCGGTGACCTGGCTTTAGTGAGTGCAAGACTAAACCAGAACAAGGCTAAAACTTCTTCATTAGGGAGAAATGTAGGGTCAATCACTGGTCCAAGTTCCCGTAGTACCAGCAGCAAGGATCTGCTGTCACTTGGCAGCTCGAATGATATCATACCAAAGTCAAAGGTTCAGATTGTGACCGAGAAGTTACATGAGTTGTTTATGACCATGCACAGTCTTGAGTTGAAGGAATCGACGGAACCTTACCAACCTGTTGCTTTTCTGCAAGCTGTGAGAGAAGCAAATTCAATTTTTGAGGGTAATAACCAACAGGATGCGCACGAGTTGTTGGTATATTTACTGGACAACATTAGGGAGACTTGTGATGTTTTGACCCAGCAAGTGCAGCAAAATCCTGAACTGTTAAATGAAACGGAAGCCGTAGCACCTGTAAATAACAGCAAGCTTTGGAACGTGAGGCGATCTTGGAAGAAAAGTTTGAAAAAGAAAGATAGAAATACTAAAGAAGCTATATCAGAAGAACATACCAACGGAGCCAGTGTTGTTGACACAGAAGATGGTAATTCCATGGAGAGCAGTAACGGTACGAACAGAAAGAAGCTTGGTTACAACTTCGTGGCTGAGGATTTCGAGGGCATCACATTACGACGTACTAAGTGCTTAGAATGTGAAAGTGTGACAGAGAGAAAAGAACCTTTCTACGACATACCCGTGCCCATATCCATAAAAGATGAAGATCTGGAGATGAATATGAACGTGAATGACATATTCCGCAGGGCTTGTGTTACGACGGAGAAATTATGTGACGCCAATAAATATCTTTGCGAAAAGTGTGAACGGTATAACGAAGCAAGCAGAGAGGTTCTGTTCGAGAAATTGCCAAATATAATGGTCCTGCAGCTGAAAAGATTCACTACATCGACTTCCGGTGTTCAGAAAGTTAACACGTATTTGCCGACTCCCTTGGAGATGGAGTGCTTCTGTGAAAGTTGCTGTAAAGTGGACGAAAGAGAATCGCCTCCCCATCGATATCAGTTGTGCTGTGTCATCATGCATTTAGGAGGCACTATGGCTTCCGGTCATTACATCGCTTATGTTAAGGCGTCCGATCATCTAGAGGATTACGCGGAATGTTCCAGGGATTTGCCAAAGGGAAGTTTATCCGCGAGCAGTAGCGAGAAGTCCCTGAATTTCCTTAAATATCTAAAACCGCGAGCTCTGGGCAACTCGCTTATCGAGAGCCGTAACGGGTTGTCTTCCAAGAGCGTCTTAAACGGTGTCAGAATGTGTAAAAGCATGGACTGTTGCGGTGTTAGACTAAATAAAAACGTGGTTGAAAATGTGATCAATAGTTTTTCGAGAAAGGGCGGGCAGGAGTACTGGCATTCTTCCACCTCCCCGTCCGAGGATATGTGGTTGGAGTGCGACGATGAGAACATCCGACCCATCACTAGCCAGGAGTTTGTAGACGAACTAGGTTACAAACCGAACTCCACGTCGACTCCGTATTTACTGTTCTATGCGAAAATCACAGACCTGGCAATAGACTAATGGTAACTAATTTTATAGAAATGGGTACATTATTTAATAAAATTTTTAGTGAGTACAAAAAAGGTATAGTGATTAAATGTGATATCACAGAAAGTTTAATTTGACGTTATCAAAAAAAAAAAATGTAATACTTAAATAACTGTACCTATGCAATCCAATATGAAATATGTCGTGCATGCAATCTTTGAGAAAAATGTCGAATAGGCAGCTTTAATTTCATTCTCGAATCTCTCCAAAAAAGCACCCCATACTAACGCAATCTGTTTTTAACCGATATCTGTAACCATATGAGATGTTAGATTAATATGCGTATATGCTTTTACAATTTCAAAGTGGAGTCATTCCAGGCCAAATCAAATAGAGATTTAATGAGATTAGTTGTTTTGTATATTATTCGTTCACATCAAAAGTAACGCCATTAAAAAGGGGCACCGATTTCAAAGTTGATTTTCTCTTGAATTGCTAATCTGATTTCAAACTGTAGGTTTAATCCTCAACTACAAATATAATCTAATTGCATCAAATTGTAGTCCTATCTTTTCTGATTAATTTGCTTCTTGATTTGTGTCATTATCTCTGTTGTTAATGGAGATACAGGATTAATTTATTGGAAAAACTTGGGGAATGACGTTTATTAAAGTTTTTTTTCGGGTATGAGTCATTAAAGTGAAGCCATTATTGGAAGAATTGTTTGATTTTCATCTGTTTCTAAATCTTTGCAATAAATTGATGCCTTTTAATTTAAGCGTATCTCAATTAATAACAGAGATAATGATGTGAATAAAGAAACAGGTTGTTTAGAAAATATGAGACTACAATTTGATTTAAGTAGCCATTCCTTATTTCAACTGGTGTGCTATACAGTGTTTCAAATTTCTGGGAAGAATCATTCTTACATTCCATACAGTGTGGTGTGGAAAAACATACCACAAGCTGAGAAACCGGTAGAACATCAAAATGTAAGAAATTTTTTTACAAACCAATTTTAGCAGTGTCTTGTTCAAAAGATATGTTAAGAGTTTGGTAGAGGTAAGATTTAAAGGTGTTAAATGTTTGCGTTGTCTGTTTTTGACTATTTGCAACTTTACCAAGTGATTTTACGACGTAACTTTTTCGAAGCAGGTATATTAAAATGTAAAATTCAACCAGCTTTTACTTCATATACGAAATCTTGGAAATAAAATGCCATACTTCCCTTTGAACGGAAATAATCTGATTTACATCAAGTTACTTTAGTACAATTTTGTTTCTTTAAAAAATTATCGGAATTCAACAATTTTTATTCCATTTTAACTAATATTAATAAATAACTTTTGATAGAAGCAAGTACTAAGCAGTTTGAACTAAATCGTTTTTTTTGTTCATTCAGAAAATCTACCTTTCGAGCCTGGCCTATTCATTTGTCCGAACACCCTATATATTACGGAATAGGATCTGGTTGATTTTGAAACGGTCAATTGTGTTTATCCCAAAAACGGCGCGATTTCAACAACAGTATCTTTTTTCACGTAAAATGAAATTTTATATTTTCATAATAAAAAACTACTTTAAAAAAGACAGGTCATAAATTGTCACTAGCAGATGGTCAAAAACTAACAATTCCAGCATATCCTCATCCTCAACGACTTGTACCAAATTTCAATGCATTACTTATACTGCTTTCTTTTTTTTTGGAAATGCTTTTTTGGAAATTGCTAAAATTTTATAAAAAATACGAATTGATGCTTTGTGTCTTAAAAAACAACGCGATGGGCTCCTGTCCCTTAATGATAAAATTGTCTTATTCTATGATGTTCTACCACTCTTGAATTTATGGTATCTTTTTCCAAAACACCCTCTATATTCGGAAATAGAAATTTCAGTAAAAGTTTATATTTTAGAATTGTAACTAAGAAAGCAACAATTAAAAAAATTGAGCCATTTGTGGGAAAATCGATTTTGAAGTTGGGGCCCACTTTTGGTCGCATATTAACTTTGATGCGAAATGTACATATTTTGTTGTTACTATTTTTAGAAACAAAATCTGTTACTTACAGAGAAATATGTATATTTGTTCATTAATAAATATATGAAGGAAAGTGTATAGGCAACCCCGTATAAATTGTAAACTGGAATCTAATTTTTGGTTTCGGTATGTTTCACCCGGATTTGATATTATTAAATATTGGTCCGTTATAAAAAAATTCATTATTGTGAGTGACAGGGTTGCCTGCACCTGTATTTCAAAAGCGACTACATTATCTTTCTGCATTCCAAATGATTAAAATAATCGGTACCGATATTGTTGCAAGTAGTTATATTTTTGTGACATATTTTTAATTTTTCTGCAATGAATAATAGGTGAAGTACTTGGAAAATTGTGGATCCAATGTTCCTGTGAAAAACTGTAGATGTTTTTTATATACTAACTTTTAGTGTCATGTTTATTGCACTTTAAAACGTGATGAAAATTTCCTGGTATTTTCAAAAAGGCAGCTATTTTTGTTCGGATAAATGCCCTTCTTTAATATACTAATGCTATTAATGTGTGGATATTTCCTAGGATGTTTGACTTTATTACAAAAAAATATATTTGTGTATGCACCTTTTCGTCTGTCCTTGGTTTTGTATAGATTCTCTAGATTTAAAATATATTTTAGAAAAAGAATTAATTATAAATTAAAACTAATAAGAATCCATAATTACTTGTCAGTCTAATCTTATACCCGTTGAACTTACTTTTAATAATAATTAAAAAAAATACGTAAATAGAACCTGTTTTGACATACTTTTCAATTTTTTGTACCAATAGCTTTTAAAATTATTGTTAGCTCTATATGATGTATTTGACTATTTTTTTTTTACATTTTTAGGGGTAAGCAGTGAACAATTTTTTTGCATATTTAAACGTATACTTCATTTTTCAGCTTTTCTAAATGTTGGTGGCTATATTATATTAAATTGTCGTTTATTGTGTTTTAAAAGGAAAGAAAAACCAATTTTCATATCAAAATAGTTTTAAGATTTGTGAAAAATTGGCACAGCAATATTTGTTGCAATGATAACCATAATTTACACCAGGACAATCAGATCAGATTTAATTGCATTTATAAAATAATACTTAAAATAAAATAAGTAATAATATTAATAAAAATATAGTAAATATTTATTAAAATTATTTGTAATGTTTTAGTTTTACAAAAAAAATGTCTGGTTAATCGTAGTTAATGTTTGGCAGATAAACCATTTAAAATTATTTTTATAATGCATTAGTTACAACAGGGCGGATCTGTTTTGAGGTGGATGTGAGAGGGGGCAAGCATATTTTTTCTGGATTATCTTCAGTACAACTCGCATAATAAAAGTGTAGATCCCTAGATCTGGGCAAGATCCGGAACATTTTCAAAATTGCAAAAATATTTACAAAGTTAGTTTGCTTATATCTTGGAACCTAGGCATTTTGGAAAAATATTGAAGATGAAAGTAGTTTTAGAATTGAATTTTGCACAATATACTGTAAGCTAAAAATGTTTAAATCTATTGCCGTTGTTGCAAAATAGTAATAATTGATGAAAAAAAGGCAAAATAATCAAGTTTTTTGGATAATTTTTTTAAAATATTTTAATTGCTCCGAGGGCATTTTGGAATTTTGGTAAAAAAAACTTTAGATTATAATAAAACAACACGCCAAATTTCATTAAAATCGGTTAGTTTTGGCAAAATAATTTTTTGAAAAATTTTTTTTAATTTTCAAATTGTTGCACAGCGTCAAATAAAGCATCTAGATACTTGAACATTTTTTCACATAGAAAAGACCGCTCAACCTTTCAAATGGTTTTTGAAAAATTGAAATCGGTTGATTAGGATCGCCACAGTAAATTTTTAAAGTTAACACTTTCTTTTCTAAATTTTTAAACAATTAGATTACATTTATCAATTTACAATTTGTTTTTTCAAAAATAATAATTTTAGAGTACTCGGAAAGACGCTTCTTTTTTTTTTAAAAAAAAGGTTAATTCCGTTTATTGGTTCTCGAAATATAAGCGGTCAAAGTTTATCGGCATTTACCGTTAATTTATAAACAATTTAGCAATAATTTTTTATCCAGTGGCTTCTTTTTTTTCGAGTTCTAAGCTGGAAAAAATGTTCATATCCATAAGTTATCGGCAACATAGATAAATCAGCGGAAAAGCTGTCGTTTGCACGCGCGAAAAGTGACTCAAAACACGAATAGTAGGGGAGGGGGCTTTCGCTCCGAGACTGAATTCGTAGGTTCAAAACGCGAAGATACGAAAAAAATTGCATTATCTCGGCTTCTAATGAACCAATTTCAATCCTTTTTTTTTCTAATCTGATATCTCGCGAGCCAAGGAATTCCAATATCGTAAAGCCAACTGTCTAATTTGCACATATTTTGTTATAAACAAAGTTTATTATTTATGCATTAAATATACTGTATATTTTGCGCTGTTATTGCACTTTTTCAATGAAAAAATTTGTTTACGTATATATTTCAACACTCTGAATATCAATGTATTTAGTTATAATTATTACAACTATTGAAGTAATTTTTGTTTAAACAAATTAAAAAAAATATTTGGAAATTAATTTTTTTGTTAAATACGGTTAAAATTAAGAAAAAATAATACTTTAAAATTATAATTTAAAAAAAATAAATTGCAAATTGATAAATGTAATCTAATTATTTAAAAATAAAAAAAAGTGTTACCTTTAAAAATTTACTGTGGCTGTCCTAATCAACCGATTTCAATTTTTCAAAAACTATTTGAAAGGTTGAGCCGTCTTTTCTATGTGAAAAAATTTTCAAGTATCTAGATGCTTTATTTGTGGCTGTAAAACATTTTGAAAATTCGAAACTTTGTTTTCAAAATTTTTTTCAAAAAATTATTTTGCGAAAAGTATATACTTAACCGATTTTAATGAAATTTGGTGTGTTGTTTTATTATACTCTATTATTATTTTACCACAATTAGAATGCCCTCGGAGCAATTAAAATATTTTTTAAAAATTATCCAAAATACTGGATTATTTTGCCTTTTTTACATCAATTATTGCTATTTTGCAACATCGGTAATAAATTTAAACATTTTTAACCTACAGTATATTGCGCAAAATTCAATTCTAAAACTTTCCTCTTCAATATTCTTCCAAAATGCATAGGTTCCAAGATATAAGTAAAAAAACTCAGATAAAATAGGTATTTTTTAAACATTTTTGCAATTTTAAAAATGTTCCGGACCTCGCCCAGATCTAGGGATCTACACTTTGATTATGCGAGTTGTACTGAAGGTATTCCAGCAAAAATTAGCTTGCCCCCCTCTTACATCCAAGAAGTCGGATATTTCTACAGATCCCCCTGGTCTATAGCTCCATAGTGATTTCGGGAGGTTCCAGGTGTAGAATATTTAAAATAGGTAATGCTGCTAATAATACGCGCACTACTCACAGATGCAATATTTACATCAATTCATTAAAAATACTGTGCAAACACGAATCTACGTATTTCATGAACGTTTTATTAGAGGAACTATAAATAGTTGTGTGCGTTACTTTTACTGGTAGTTTTCCTATTATGACAGCAATTTGTTGACACAACTCATTTTCTCATAAACAACGCAAATAGTCATGAAGTGGAACAATTAAATTTTAATTCGACGAAATTATTTACCTACAAGTAGTTTCAATGAGAATACCTAATTGAGAACAATAATTTAAATTGCAATAAATCAATTTTTATTAAAAGTAACCACTGATGTGGGATATTTATAATTTTGATTGTCCTCGTGTGAATTTTTATGTTTTTGTGTGAAAAGATATAAATTTTCAAAACAAGAAATTTGCTTATCTTATCACAAGTAGTGTTGATATTAAGGAAAGTGAACCTGAATGTCGAATAATTAAGGAAACCACTGATACGATACGCAATATTTTTATATAATAATGAACGACTGGATTTGGATGTCATGCCAAAATTTTTATACACTTAGACTTAAAAATTACTCGCTACTCTTTACCTTCGGTCTGATTGAGTTTCCAGGAAGGTACCGGTATTTGTGATTTTGAAATAGCATAAATTTATATTAGATCCGCTTGTTTCGGTTGTCACTCTTGATATCAAAAATGGAATGCCTCTAATGGATTGACCAGTATTATATTTAGATTAGAAGTATAGGTAATACGCCTATAATTATAAATTCGTGATATTAGATAAATTTATTATCATTAGAGTGGTATAAGGGTCACCTTCTGTTTACACATTCCATAAATGAAAATTCGCTTGTACAGTTTTATTTTTATTAATATTTGTAAATATTTTACTTTAACAATTATAAATTATATAAATAATATAAAAATTAATTTAAGTACGTATAATTTAATACAGCGTGGCAACAATAAATAAATGACAGGTTTGTTTGTATAAATAATATAAATTTAATATTTCATCATTTAAATAAAAGTTTTGTTTATAATTAACGACTATTTTTTTTTACATTGTCGTGGAGCACTTTGCGAGGATTCTGTGGATCGCTTCAGCGTGCTTCTTCTGCCATTGAACGTTGATCTTGACGGTTTCGAGAGATTGTTCCACCCCTTTCTTCACTTCAGAGAAGTTTTCTTTGTTCTTTTCTATGAATTGTTCCAGCTGAAAAAAATATTTTATTGAGAAAATAATAGAAGAAAATCATACATTTTTCAACATCAAAACATATCTTCATAACTGTTTTGCCTTTACAAATAAATACATCGATACTTCACAGCATCAATAAGGGCAATATCCAAGAGAATAAAGTTTTATACTTATTTTATGAAAAAACCCACCAATTTTGCATTACTTAATTAATTCAAATTCTTAAGATATATAGCGTCTTTATTGGAATTCCCTGTATACCAAGAGATCCAGAATGATTGAAGTGTTTGGAGATCGCAGCCTGTGTCTCTGTCAATACTACTAGACCAGGGCGGATCTGTCGAAATATCCCACTTCTTGAGGAAAAAAGTTTTAGAATTGAATTTTGCACAATATACTGCAAGTTAAAAATGTTTAAATTTATTACCGACGATGCAAAATAGCAATAATTGATGAAAAAAAGGCAAAATAATCAAGTTTTTTTGGATATTTTTTTTTAAATATTTTAATTGCTCCGAGGGCATTCTAATTTTGGCAAAAAAACTTTAGAGTGTAATAAAACAACACACCAAATTTCATTAAAATCAGTTCGATAGTTTTCGCAAAATAATGTTTTGAAAAAAATTTTCGAATTTTCAAAATGTTGCACAGCCTCAAATAAAGCATCTAGATACTTGAAATTTTTTTCACGTAGAAAAGACCGCTCAACCTTTGAAATGGTTTTTTAAAAATTGAAATCGGTTGATTAGGACGGCCAAAGTAAATTGTTATAGTTAACACTTTTTTAATTTTAAAACAATTAGATTACATTTATCAATTTGCAATTTAGTTTTTTTTCAAAAATTATAATTTTAAAGTACTCGGAAAGATGCTTCTTAAAAAAAAATTCCGTTTATTGGTTCTCGAGATATAAGCGGTCAAAATTTATCGCCATTTACTGTTAATTTATAAACAATTTAGCAATAATCTTTGATCCAGTGGCTTCGTTTTTCCGAGTTCTAAGCTGGAAAAAAATTTTCATATCCATAAGTTATCAGCAACATAGATAAATTAGCGGAAAAGCTGTCGCTCGCACGCGTAAAAAGTGACTCAAAACACGAAAAGTGGGGAAGGGGGCTTTCGCTCCAAGACTGAATTCCGAGGTTCAAAAAGCGAAAGTACGAAAAAAATTGCATTATCTCTTCTTCTAATGGACCAATTTCGATCTTTTTTTTTAATCCGATGTCTCGCGAGCCAAGGAATTCAAATATCGTAATGCCAACTGTCTAATTTGCACATATTTTGTAATAAACAAAGTTTATTATTTATGCATTAAATATAGGTACTGTCTATTTTACCCTAAGTTATTGCATTTTTTTCAATGAAAAAATTTGAAAGGTTGAGCGGTCTTTTCTATGTGAAAAATTTTCAAGTACCTAGACCTAGATGCTTTATTTGAGGCTGTGCAACATTTTGAAAATTCGAAAATTTCTTTTCAAAATTTTTTTTCAAAAAATTATTTTGCAAAAACTATAGAACCGATTTTAATGAAATTTGATGTGTTGTTTTATTATGCTCTAACCAAAATTAGAATGCTCTCGGAGCAATTAAAATATTTTTAAAAAATTATCAAAAAAAACTTGATTATTTTGCCTTTTTTTCATCAACTATTGCTATTTTTCAACAACGGCAATAAATTTAAACATTTTTAACTTACAGTATATTGTGCAACATTCAATTCTAAAACTTGTTTCCCTCTACAATATCCTTCCAAAATTCCAGGATATAAGTAAAAAACTCAGATAAAATAGGTACTTTTTTAAATTTTTTAAACAATTTTGCAATTTTGAAAATGTTCCGAGCCTCGCCCAAATCTAGAGATCTACACTTTTATTATGTGAGTTGCACTGAAGGTAATCCAGAAAAAATTTGCTTGCCCCCTCTCACATCCCTACTATCCACCCCAAACCAGATCCGCCCTGGTCTATACAGATTACAGATTTTCATATGCTAAAGATGATTTTAGAAACAGGCTGCGTTCCCCAAACGCTTCAATCATTCTGGATCTCTCTGTATGATGTCTGTTATGTATTCTGATTGTGCATTTGTAACATACAAATAATGTAGGTAGGTATATTAAAAATAGCACCAGACAATAAACGTTTAATAAAATAAGCAGAGTTAATCTAATCTGGAATCAATATGTCTCTCATTGAATGATTCATATTTGTTATTTATTATGATGTGATCCATCAATCAAAATTAATCAAAAATGACACAAAAATGTAAGATTAAAATTTCTTACACCACAATAAAAGAAATCCAAAACAAAATACTACAGATTTTATTACTATTTTAAATATCTGTACTGAATGGAATTGTATTTTAAATTGCTTTTTAAAACATGTTTATGTCACGTTTTCAGAATTGAAATTCAATATTAGTATTTAATCTAGAAAGTTATTTAAATTCATTTTGACTTAAATTGATTTGAATTGTATCAAATAATGATTTGATTAACTGTCATAATTGCAAGTACCAACCTCAGTTTGCTCCTTTTCTTCAATCATTTGATTAGCTACAGATGAAAGGAACCTGCTGATCCTCCTTTTGTTTGGTTGCAAACTAGAATAAAGAAATCGTGTTTATTAATAAATAATCCAATGAACATTTTTAATGTCTAGTAAATATATGAAGTTAGATATCAAAATATCATTCTGATAAAATTTCATTTTAATTTTTTTTGTGTTCATTGAAAACGTTACCAACTTTGTATCTCCAATGATAACGAAGCTAGGCACTAGTGAGTGAGAATGTAATTTGAAATTTTCTGTACATCACTACATTTAAATTAAAATTTACAAACTTACTGTTTGAAGATTTGGTCGACTTTGTTGTAAAAGAAGTTTTTAGCAATGTCGTATCCAACGTCATTCCTAGCGACAGAGCTGAATACAGAGCTGCTGTCCTGCCTCCTGATGATGGAGTCGTCCAAGGACCATTCCAGGTATCTCGTCAGCAATGGGACTTGTTTCGTGCATCCCAGAGCGCTCAGAATGGTGTTCTTCTCCGTTGCGACATTCGAATTTTTGTAGTGCTTCCACAAGAACTCCCATTCCTCTTCCCCGCCGTGCTTCAGAGTTGTGCAGTAGACTACCCCTTTTAAATCTTTAGGGATTCTAAAAAATATTAGCGTCTTATAGATACATCATTAGATTTAAGGGTTACATTCGACTTAAAAAATGTGGGTTGTTCGTATCCCTTTGATAGATTTTGTTGTGGAACATTTTATGATGTAGAAATTATAATAACATCAAAAACAATTCCACTCCACAGTTTTTGTGATCCAATTAAAATAAAAAAACACTTACAAATCGGTAGCGTTGGGATTTTTGGTAAACTCCTTAAATAAGTTTTGGCAATGAGCTATGCAGTTGGCAACCTCGAACTTGCAGGCCTTACTCGCGATGAGAACTTGGAGTTTTATTAAATCGAGCTTATCGGCACTAGACGCTGGTATTTCTAGCCCACCCAACTTTTCATAAATGGGGCTTAACAGCTTCTGCATATATTCCTACACAAAACATAATTATAAAGAAATATTCCAATGAAATTCGGTTCGAACAACTAGCTTACTTTATAAAGTCCATAGATGTCGCTCTTTTTCAAGTGGGTAGTCAACCCGCTGGTCTTTCCAAGTGCGGCTTTCCAAGGCAGGTATTCATCATCAGCCTTCAAGTAATTCACCAAGTCAAAGAAGATGTCGTACTTCAGGTTCCCTATGAAAGCCAAGTCAGCAGAATCACTGATGAGTTGTACCCTATTGAGCGTGGGAATTGCAACGTACTGCCTACTTTGCAGAGTTTTTATGATCAGCTTCCAGTTTTCTTCGTCATAGTTTACTTTGTAAATACCTAAAAAAATTTGGTTAGTAGATAAAAGTACATTCACCACAACTCAAAGTTTTACCCGCCATCTGATTGTTGAATATAACCCAGTCGTTTTCGTCGGCAACATCTTCAATGACTTGGCTTTGGCTGGGGCAGGATAGCCAATGGTCTGGCGTGGTTTTATTGAAATCCAAGTGCTGTTTGGTGGAGTAACTTAGTGGTATCCACCAACACGAGTTGGCGTCGTCTTTAGGGCTGAGTATATCCCTCAAATATCTCCTCTGAAAGTCACAAAAAGTATATCATGGTAATCAGACCAGTTGGAAACTGTGCGACGTACCTGTGATATTTCAACACTCTTCCTCTTGTAGTTCCTGTTAACTGTGATCACTGGGTACCCGGTTTGTAAAGTCCAGGTATCCATGATGGTCTTAACGGTTAAGGTTTTGGGGATGATGTTATTTTTGTGCGCCTCCTCGGTGAGGGATTCCCAAAGGTCGTTTTGCTCGGCGTTATTGAATTTGTGCTTTTTGAGGTAGTTGCTGACTCCTTTCCTTACCACTTCTTCGCCCAGGAACAGAGTCATCATTCGAATAAGGGAAGAGCCCTTCTTGTAGGAGATGGTGTCGAAGATCTCCTCTATTTCCTTGGGATCTCCTATGGGCACAGACACCTAAAATGCAAGAAAGATGGGTGATGTGTGCGCTAAAATATGAAATTGTTGGTTTATGAAGCCACTGAAGAGTTTGCTGCAAGAACTGGTTAAGATAAGTAGTCAAAATTATAGTTATTTATGGTACTAGTGTGTTACGATGTATATAAGTCATGCTGGGAAATGTTTAGCCCTCGAGGCCGTAAACCGAAAGCGCTAATTTTCCAAAAAAAACTTATCAGAAGAACGGTCTCCTATTCAACTGCGATTTTCGGTAAAACGATACACTATACCGATTTTCAACAAATATACCTTTTTTATGTGGAATTGCCCACGGAATCTAAAAATGAATCCCAAATGATCATTAGGTTATTGGCGTAGAAGTTGGGGTAAAAAAAATCCCGCTTTATTACCCATTCCTACGCCACTGACCTACAAAAATTTGTAAATTTTAC